ATATATAAAATAATATAAAATAATATAAAATAATTTAAAGACAAGATATCCATGACATATCTTTTAAATCCACTGTCCAGAATAACAAGGTGTCCATATCAAGGACAGTGATTACATGTAAGAGCATGATTTGACGGTGCTAGCCAAAGAAGGCAGCCTGACAAAATGATAACTGTACCAACCCATCCAGAAGGATGGAGAGCAACTTCATGGACATGTATACCCCTTTACCTAGTTACCTGTACACCTTCATGTGACAAATACAAGTCATAAGATTTGTTCTCATGTTTTACTGGAATTGATTGACACTTTTACTTCCAGGGGAACACGTCACAACACTGCAATCCTAATACTGAATCAAAAAGGCCTAGTAAGCCAGTCAATATAACTCCATTGTGTAGGTTGTCACCAACTGTAGCCAATCACATTCACATTACCTGGACTCCAAAATATGGGCAGGTAAGGGTATTCAAGTTTAAAACCATAGGATTCTGAATTACTCAGTCAATAATATGTTTGTTTTATTCTTGTGTTCTGTTTTATTCTAACTGTTTTGTGTAAACTATTTCCACAAGTTATATGGTAGAAAAGTACAAACAAACTAAATGCCTCTGTAATTTTTTGTGTGGACAGAGACATGTGGTAACAGCAAAACTAGTTAGAGCTGTCACATCAAGTTGTTTAATACAGAGATTGAAGGCACATGGCTACAGAAACCCTGATCATTCAAGAGCATTGAGTAAGTTTTTCTATAGGTTATCTATGATTTCAAGTTCCAAGTAAATTCTTCAACAGTTTACAATTTTGTGTGAGTGCTGCAGTTGCATATATACTATAGTTCCGGAGAGTGATCACTGGAAATAACAATGCAATAGATGACACATGCATTTGATCATCTTTGGTGATCTTTGAAATCCTTAAGAAATGGAGAGCAGGAATGGCATAGTGGTGAGAGGGCTCTCCTTCCACCAGTGTGTCCGGGGTTCAATCATGGCGTGGTGCCATGTACATTTGTTGAGTTTTCCTCGTGTCAAGGGTTTTTCCTAGTAACTCTGATTTTGCTTCCTCCTGAAAAAGCAACATTTTCAAATTTCTTAGTCCTGGTGGCCTTTGTGAATCATTGTAAGTTGTAATTTCCAATCTATAGCTATAAGTTATTGCAACTTACCATTTCTATTACTTTTGTACACCTCTGCTGCAAGACAGTAAAGATGCACATCATTAGTTACAAGTGTCTTATGTTAGCAGTAGCCTACATCAGTAGCCACAGGGATTAATGCATGCATATGATTTTCAAAATCTACTTGCCTGCATTTGGTAAAACTTGTATATCAGTGGTGGGCATCTGTTAGCCTAAATAAAAAACAATGCTGTCAGTTTCAACTGATCAAGCTTAAAGTCTGATGTTTGGTGTTTTTATTCAAGTCAAGGAAAAGTTGGCCCATGACCCAGACAGTGAAGTAGCCACCACAAGTCTACGAGTCTCACTTCTCTGCCCAGTGAGTAAAATTTCATGTAAAAGATGTTATTTTTTTCATTTTTATCACAGCTGTTGGTTGTTGAGACTAAAAGTGTAGTACATTCTTTTTACAATAATCCTTTATTCTATGGGTTTTTCAATGCTCCAAGCTGCACTTATTTTGGTTGCCACAGTGAGCTAAAGAACATTTGGGGACTAAATTTGGCAACTAGTGTAGAACAAAAGGCCAATTGCGCATCAACAACGGAAGGTTTTTTTGTAGTATAATCACTAAACCAAACAAATTCAACCACAATTTTTGCATGTTTGTCTTCCATACCTGTTAAGGGTTTCTTTTTTCTTTTATTTACTTTCCTAAACAGTAGTTAAGGCTGTTCAACAGAAAAAAAAACAAACAATCGCAAACGAAAACTAACAGCATCAGAATAGTCTTCCAATGATTCCAATGTGGGCTTGCCATGCCATTAGATCAATGTTAAGTGACACAAAGTGTCCTTCTTTAGTCTAGTCTTCACTAGACTGTGATGTGAGACTTCGACTCATTGTGGCTTTACTGTTCTTTCAGCTTGGCAAGACACGGATGACCCTTCCCTGTAGGTTAGTAATTTCTGAAGGCGACTAGTGTTAGAGCATACATTGTTTATGTTGGCACTTGCATGTAGTCTCTAGTCTCATGTTTTTTGTAGTATATATTTGTTATGTGTTTTCATCTCAGTCTTATGCACCTACTGGCATGCAGAGACTTGATAATGATGTGTCTTCATCATCGTCAGTCCTTTTCTTGCCATGTGATTCATATAAGGCCTATGTGCTTTAATCCCCATAAAATAAATTCAGTAAGTTCAAAGGATGATTACATATCCATAAAATGTATGCATAAATATAAAGATAGTTATTTGCAAACTATAATTGTTTAGTGTATAAAGTTAATTGGTTATGCATAAGTTGTAAATTATGCTTGAATGATTATGCTGTACACAAACTTCTATAATCTAGATGTACAACTCTTTTTTATGTTATTTCTGAGCTGCCTTGTATTCTGTTTACAGGGCCATCACTTGCAACCATTTACAGTGCTTTGATGCAGCCTTGTATTTGCAAATGAATGAAAGGTATTCAGATAATTTCCTAATTTTATCTCTTTAATTTCCAAAAAAAATCCATGTTAAGAGGTTGAGGTTTGCTGTCTAGTGCTCATTTATTTTCTCACTGATTTAGTATTTGGATTTTCTGACGTTTTTATCATGGGATAGTATTTACATTGCATGTAAATAATTATAAGGTGTGAGAAGTTCCTCTGCCTCAAACTTGAAGAAGTTTCCCTGTAGTGATACTTTGCTTGGATATGCATTTGAATCATTTTGTCGCACCATGTTGCAATTGAAATCACATGGTTAAACCATATGCAATTTGAGTACAATTCAGTCTTACTTCAGCATGATATTGCCAGAGATTTCGAAGTTAAGATCCAAACAAGAGCATCCAGGCCTGTGTGCCTGCTCTGATACAAAACTTCTGTTTATTTTA